ATAATTTATATCTTAAAAATTAATTAATTTGAAAAGGTTCTCTCGTGCGGGACAAAATATAAAATATTTGTAAAGAAATATTGAAATATTGTTTAAATGAAAAAATAAAGTGTTTCCAAACACAAAGTGTTTTAAAAAGTTTACAAATAAAATATAATAAAACAGACTTTTTATTGAAAATTGTTAGAACTGCACGGTTTAGATCATTAGCTGGCCATAATAGTGGATCGAAAAGTTTGTCAGATCATCGAGCGCTGGACGGTATCGACGCGTTAGCCGTTGCTGGGTGGTGAACAACGAGTCTCTGGAATCGCGTGGACATGCACTTACGTGACTCGAAAGAGAAAACAGCAGCGGTGTAAAACTTTAGTCAGCCAACGGTCGCTACCACAAAATACAACCCTGTTAGCTTGTTATTTTCTGCAAATCCAATTATACTGCATCGAGGGAGAAAATTCTCTCTCTTTGTTTTTATAGCTCTTGTATCTTGGACATGTATGATCTGTTATACTTTAAATGTGTGTTCATTTTTAGATTAATATAAAGAAAAATATCTCGAGAAGAATAAATAAAATGACTAGCCTATATAAAAGTTGGTGAGATTTTAAATAAAAATGTCAAGTATTCGTGTTCAAACTGATTAGACTGAAAGTCTGAAGTAGATATATTTAACCCGACAGTATTTATATTTTACATTATAAAAAAATTATAAAAATTATAAAAACTGAAACATTTTTTTACCTTTGACATAAATTCTTATCGTACAGTATTTTATGTTAAATGTTCTTTATTTTATCAAATACAGGATGGATTTTAATTTTCTCAAAATTTATAAGTTTAATACAATATAACTATCCGACTGACGATTAAAACCTTTTAAATGTTGTTCAGAGTTATGTTTCTATTTTTTTTTTGTGTTGTTTCTATTAATTTTTTTTTCCACAAATGTTCATTGTTACATTAAAAATAAAAATAAGAAGAACAACTTTCAATAGATCTTGGCATGTCAAGATCATGATTCTGAGCAACGTTCAAAAGATTTTAACCGTCAGTCGAATACCTTGGATAATGCAAATATCAGCGGGACTGTAACTTGAAGTTTCATAACTTGAAAAATACTTGGTTAAAAATAACATTGGTGTAGTGTTTTGGAAAACTCTTCAAGTCAGCTACAAGAATATATATTGAAATGGGAGATTCCATCTAAAAAATTTTAAGTAACTTTGTCCTGACCTTAAAGACATCTTCTCGAGGTCAACTAAGATCACAAACTTCCTTCCCCCTTAGCCATAAAACTTTTGTTTAAAACATTTTTGTCTTAAACTTACAGATTTGGAGAAAATTGACTGGATAAATTAAAATGGCCCACCTTGTATAACATTTTGTTTAAATATGACATATAATAGTCCACTGATGTCTGCGTAGGCTCTTTTTTATTAACTCTATTTTAATTTTTTCTTTTTTAATGCTACTGTGTTACATTATGTGTGCCTCTTGGAAAACACCCCATAAAAATTAAAAACTAAATGATATACGCGACTGTTCTGACATTTTATTCCAGACGTAGATGGATCAATGGAAACTCGAAACTGCCGCGAACGGCATTGAAATAATATCGAAAATAAAGAAGAACGATATCTGACGCCGATAATCTTGAGTGAGGTACACATTGATTTTCTTTTCCTCGTCCTTCATCTATCCTTCGCTATCGTCGTTGTCACGACAGTAAACGAATACAACGAATAAAGTCCACGTGCTTGGTTAGGTACGATCAGGATCTTAACGTCAAGTTGGCGTGAACCTTATCTGAGAAATGCGAGAGCCGTCACCTACATCTCGTCTGCGTTCCATCAGTTTCAAAGAATCGCTTGATTTTTGAGCGATACTCGGTTCATTCGGTTGCTTTTACTAAAGCATGTTCATGTGTTTATTGTCACAAGGTTGAAGTTGATCGCTTCTTTGCGGAAACTTTCAAGGCTCCCCTGATATCATTTAATATCACGCGAACAACGTTGATACAATTTTAATCACTTTCAAGTTCGCTTTTTTTTCGTCCGTGCTGATAATGGAATATCGTCTCGTTTTCCCCTTCTCCCTTGCTCTGTCCAGTAGTTCCAGTTTCCGATAGAGAGTAACACGTGGTGATAAATCAGTTAGCTGGACGTGAACTGGCTTCGTGAAATTCTGGTTTTCACGGCACCGCGAACGCGGTCTACGATTATGGAGGTTGTACACGAGGCATTCGAGATATCCCAGTAACGATCCCTCGACTGACTGTATATGCAGCTTCTTGGCAGGCTTCCCTAATGTCCCCACTTTTTCTTCGTTTCATCTTGCCGCGGTTACTTCGCCAAGTCTAGTCTTAGCACTGACCTAACAAATTGTCTAAATCGGAACATCGCGCAAGGAACGACCTTGTGAGACTCACTGGAAGACCGTGAATTCCAGACAATTTATACATGTCGCGTATAGCTGAGATTTAATTTATATAAGTGGAATAATGGTCGAGAGAGATAAATTCTCCGGCGGTTTTGCTGGATTCACATTGGATCCGACATGTATCGTTTTATTTCATATCGATGATACGAAGCAAAATCCTGTTTTCTGATTGATTGCAGAGTGTCATACGACGCACGTCGAATCCAGTGTGAACCTAGCTTCTTTCTTATCCGGAATTGTGAAAAAGAACTGCCCTTCAGTACTTTTCAGCGAGCGAATTACTTGTTAGAACATACCGTTTCCGATACACTATTACCGCGTATCTACATATATTGCAGAGTAAGTTGGCTTTCCATCAACGATCAGCATCTGCTAAGTCGACCGCACGATAGCTCGACGGACGAGAATCAATACGTGTTTAGAGTTTACAGTTTCCCGGAGTTTCCGTATACAAATTCCACTGCAGCATTAGCTATCTCTTGAGTGGACATTGGATGAATGGACAATGAGCCACTCGGCAACCGCAGATTATTTTTATAAATATTTGCTTACACTCTCGCTTACACTTCAAATAAAATAACATGACAATTAAATTATATGTAAAGAACGATTTTTCTAAAATATTCAAAAATTTAGATACAAATCTAAAAATACATAATTTGGCTCATAGAATTAAAACGCAAAATATTCTCAATGTCGTTTTGATAAACAATAAAGATTGTCCAATGAATTACGATTCAATTTATTAATATTTAATATACAATGCAAACGTTTCAACTTTAATAAGTTTTTATCTCAGTGTTTACTTTCAATCTATTTTTTTTAATTCTTCAAACCCTTACCAGATTATTGATCTTGAGTGAATCCCTCTATCATACATTAAATAAATTAATAGTAGTTTACATATATGTCGGTTCGGTACTTTTTTTATGTACGTTATTTTAAATCGATGTCTTCATCTTGTCAATATTGTCACTAAGTCAATGTTGTAATGTCAACGTTATCCAATTCTTCAATTAATAATTCAATCGAGAATCTTATTAAGTTAATTATAGCCTAGTCTATTCTTTTTGTTTTTTCTTTATCTCACTTAACGGGACAATGGAGAGAAGAAAGCTAAGCTTTGGTCTGTTCTAGCAGCTTGAGCGTCGTACATAATTATTTAGTTAGTTGAACAAAATGATTTTTAGATCTGTATTTAGTTAAATTTTTAGATATTTCAGCAAAACAGTTCTTTCCATATTCTTAAGAATAAGTTACATTCTTTTTTTCCGCTAACACTATTTGATTAATCAATAATTTTCTGTCAAATTAAAAAATAATTTTTCTTCTTTTTTGAAAAACTTAATTTTTTGAGTTGTGTTACTTTTAAAGTAAGAGACTCGATATATAGATATAAATGCCGATAACGATGGAAAATCAAGATATCACTTTCCTTTCCTCTATGAAATTATAAAATGAAAGGGTTAATTATAGATTTATCTGATACGAAAAATTATACGGGTACGGAATGAATAAAGTTTTGAAGATATGGAGCATTAGATGCATTCAGAACGATAACCGCTCACTGAGCGCTCAGTGAACTCTTTCATTTGATTAGCATATTCCATTAGATCCTAAAATATAGACCAATCACATGAAAGAGCTCACTGAGCGCTCAGTAAACGGTTGTTAATTGTTCTGAATGATACGATCAAGAGACATGATAGTGTCTCGCGCCAAGTGAACACGCAGCGCGAGGAATGAACGCAATTTTATTTATTTCGTGAGAGACGTGAGAATCGAAGTAATAAAAACAAAACGGGTGATTAATAAGGAACGCGGTGTACAAAAGTGGTTATACTCTTTAGGAGATGATACAGCTTTCTCTAAGAGATAGGGGATGATCACGTTACCTCAGGGTAATCGAACCCTTTCATCGCTTCTTCACGTTCTCTCGCGTAGTTTATCCTCCTTCTCACCCTACCTCATCCACTCGTGTTATTAACATCCTCGGGGTATGTAATCTCGTATCATCTCGTTGACGGACCTTCAATAAACGATGTACATCGAGGAGCGTGAACCCTTTGATTAGAAAGGGTAAAATGATTTTTCCCATGAACTCGTCGGCATCGTTGCTCGCGTCAGGGATCAATATTGAACGGTAATAATACTTTCACTGCGTCACGTTTCAGAGTTGTTGTTTGTCTTCGGAATACGATATACCGAAAGCAATCTCATCGGATATATGTATAATAAATGGCTATTGAGACCAATAGTAGTATATTACCTATTTTTGGCTACCGTTTATCCGTTCTTTTTTTTGCTCTTCAATTCGTATTTCGATGCGACTTATATTTTCGTTTCCACAGCGTGAAAATAATATCCGATAAATTCGAGCCAGTATAAATAAATATAAAAATGTATTTATGTATAATTACGATATTATTTTATTCTGATTAGCCACTAAAGGTAAACTTAGATCTATGACATAACAACAGGTGGGATAGTTTGATCGAGAGACGCAATTCTTTTATCTACCGGTATACAAATTTAACAAGCACGATTAAAAATTTACTCACGATTTTATGGTGAAGATGTTGAAGTTCCCTTTCGGTTACTCTTCTACGGGACAACTCGCGTTGCTCCTGCCTATACTGGTTGTACTTGTAGAAGAGATACATCCCGGGTAGGGCTAACACCACCAGAGGTCTCATGAAGCTAGACCGTCCACCCTCGCGAGGACGTTGTTCCGGTAATTCTGGGTCCTCCTGCGGCTGACCGGCTCCCTCATCGACAGCCGGCGCGGCTGCACCAGCTGCTGGCATCCTTCTACAAAATACGAACAAATTCAGAATTAAATTTCTTATTCTGAATTAGATAAATTATGAATATAATGTATTTTACAATACATAATATAATAGAAAAGAGAATATTAAGTTTTGACTAACAAGAAATAGTTTCGAGATGTATAAAATATTATATTAAAGAACTGGTTAAGTCGAATTGTGTGATTGATTGTTTATTTTGGAAAAACATTGACGGCATGAAAAAAATCTCTTTCTAAAGTCTTCACAAGAAAAGAATGGTTCTATTGAGGTATTTAAAAATTTAGCTAGATACAAATGAAAATAATTTTGCTGAACAATCAAAATTAAGCAGAAAAAATTATGTAGAAAACTCGGATATGAACAATGCTGTGAAAAATTTTGACGTTCTAGCAACGTCCTACGTAAATTTTGATATTCCAAAATTATTATCAGATCTGTATTTAGCTTTTAGATACTTCAGCCAAAATCGTTCTCTGTATATTTATGCCCGTATTCATAGTCATATTTTATACTTAACGTTTCCTTAAATTTATCTTTAGATGTTCAGTAGCCGATAAAATAATCCGTAGAGCATCAGAAAATAAATTTAAGGAAGTCTTAAATAAGGCCCGACTATGAATATGGGCAATAATTTATGCATCTCGCAACTTCTTCATGTTAGTTGAAAAACTGTTAGAACTTAACGTCCTTCTGTTTGCAAAAAAGAAAGTTATATATTGTGTTGAACGATTTATATCTGGATAATACCTTTTTTGTTCTGAATATTTCTCTCTGAATTGTGCTACAACTGCAGCATTATTGTGAAGCTTAATCAGCTAACGACAAGAAATTCTCAGTGAACGACACGATGTACTACTGCGCCGCACAATATACTCGTCCCAGTGTGCATTGTGACTTCATTAAAGATATCGAACCACGATGCCCGTTATTCCGCTCATTTGAAGAACATCCGGCAAACTAAAAGCGTCTAACTCGATTATTGTAATTTCCGATTTTTTTTCGCTTAATACACACGTTTTAACATTTCAGTCTTTTGATTTCCCTTAAGTTCTAAAGTATTAATTCTCGCGAAAGCGACATGATCGACGACACGCGAGATTTTAGTTTTTTGTTGTCAAACGAATGGCGAATTTTAGAATAAAAAAATTAACTATTGCTCATTGGTTCCCACATCAAATTTATTTTTTTTTTTTACTATCCTCCACCGATGCCGGAGTAGTAGGCGCGCATAGGTCATTGCGTATTCCCAACACGAACTTATCCTTCTACTTTCTCTGTCATTTCTAGATATTTATAGTCTTCTCTATGTATGTGTATGTGCTCCATGCCATGATATCTACGGGAAAATGGTTTCCCACTCGCATATATCCTCAAATCTCGCAACTTTAATCTCGCAACTGTCGGAGCTGCGATTATTTCCGCAAACTCTCGTACAGGTTTTTGTATTTCTTGATTTAGAAGCTACAAAAAAAAAATAGACGTTTCACACTTTTTAAGCTAGATACGCCTTTATATAAATTCACAAAGTTAGCACGATATATTTTTAATTTTGTTCTTTAATATAAAAATAAATACAAAATTCTTTTTTTTTATTTCGAGAAACTGTAGAACAATGGAAAATGCTTAGAAAGTGCAAATGGAACTGTCATTTTTTTTTTACATTAACTAAAACAAAACAGTACGCTATTTGGCATTTGATACTATTAAAAAAATATACATATAAGTGGTCAAAAGTGGTGAATAGTCACAATCTCTTATATTTATATCAAATATAAACAATGAGCAGCGTGTAATGTAAAGTGTACTAAAGTACAATTTTCTTTTATTTCTTTTATAATAAGAAAATAACGAAACGAAAATACTATCATTTTCACATCATCTTACGGTAGACAGTATGATATGCTTTTCAAAATAGTGGTTTCTCCATTAAAAAACCTAATCCACTTCTCATAATATTTATCCTATTATAGTCGCAGGACGTTAAAAATTTTAAAATATTTTTTGAAAAAGTTTAAAATGTATTGGATGTTTTTGATATTCAAGTTTTCTTTGGAGATCTTTATTATAGATAGATGCACATTAATTTTTTATCAATCTTATTTATTGTTACATTTCAATATAATCAATATAATCAATTTTATTTTCCTTTTGTAGTTTAAATTCTATTACGCCTTCAGTACAGTAAAAATAAGGAATATATATATGAAATTTTCTAAATTAACATTTATTTAATGTTACTCTGATATAAATACGATAAATATTCAGAAGCCATAAATAATTTTAAGAACTATTCTCATATCCCCTTTCCTGCTCACGTAATGATTTTTCATGCGAAGCGAAATCCATCTCACCTCCACCTCCCCTGCCAAGGGATGCACAACTTTTCACGCGAATAGAGTTCCACCTCATCTCCTCCCTGCTAAGGGGGGGTATGACTTTTTATGCGGATAAATCTTACTTTGACAGGCGGGGTGGAAGGTGGAACTTGCTTTGCCTGAAAAGTATATATGCCTCATAAATAGAGAGTATAGGATATTCATTACTGTATATACTAAACAAAACAATATTTCCTAAACTTCTTTTGTTAATAACTTTTTAACGAATAACGAGCGACGGCTAAAATCTGTTAGAGGTTACTTAGGGTCATGATCTTGACAACATATGTCAAAGTCAAGATCATCTGCGCTGGCTTCCTTCATCTGAATATTAATCATAAATACATATGAAAACTTTAAATTTATGCAGAACTTTTAAGAAATATGTTAGCTACAGCTACAACATCTAATTAATGAAAATCATCAAAACTTAAGTCTAATATAACAAAAAAGATAAAAAATGTAAAAACGTAAAAATAGTTCATATTTATTACTATATAATACAATAATATATAAAAAATAAAATAGTATTATTGGATATCATTACAAAATTAAATTTTTTTTAGAGTTGAAGTTTAAAAAAATATATTTTTTAATTTATAACGTATTGAGTTTATAAAAGAAACTTGTATTATTAATAATTTTAATTTAATTGCATTTTCAACATTAAGAATGGTACGATTGAAATATCTGGTTTAAATTTTATTATTGTCCATAATTGTATTAAGTATTAAGTAACAACGACAAAATATAGAGTTATGCGTAATTTTGTCGTTTGAATTAAATGAGAGCCTTTCGTTATTATTTTGAATAAAAATAAATCTTAAAATAATTATTACGTAAAATAAATATTATTAGTATCTGAAATAAATATATTATTTACACAAAGAGCTAAAGTATTACGTCCACTACTTTTATGTCTTCATCTACACTTCTATCCCTTTTACTTTCCACTTCCCACTACTTTCCAACATAATCTTTTCCTTCCTTCTCTGAATGTCAATTTTTTATTTCATTATGTCTCACCGAAGAGATAATACATTGTTTTATTTCTTTTCGCATTGTCTCTAATTTCAACCGACTTTCTACGTCAAAAACACTTTTTATTTTTTGACTGAAAAAATTTTGGTTTTTTACATCAAAAGTATTTATTCATATTAATTTATTTGTTACTAAATTATAAATTCATTTAATATATAGATATATATTTTGCAAATTTAACTTTTATTAATTTTTGCTTTGCTCATCTCAATGTATTATATTGTCTATTGTTATTCGTAGTAATTTCTACTTTTTATTGTAACAATAATCTTGCACTGACATAATTCTTGTATATTATATTTTACCTGCAGGACTAAATTCATTTCATGCGTTATATTTTCTGTTTTACTTTATATCGAAGGACATTCAAGTTAATCAATTGACTACAATTATCTGACATTATTCAAGCAATTCAATGATGACTGCAATTAGCTATTGTCATGCGACGACTTTTTCCAAGCTATATTATAACTGTGAACAGGATGATATTCGTTTTTATGTTATCAGCGTTAGAGAGAGAGAAGTATAAATTTTTATTATGTTTTGTTTTTACCGTTTGTAATATTATATGTTTTTAACATTGATAATGATCCGATCGCGATCGAAATGTTTATTTTGTTTATTGCTAGGACATTGTATTAAATTTTAACTATATGATATATTTGTTTCTTTTATTTATGTTCAAACTTCTATATTAACAACGTTTAATTTTATAATATAATTTTTGGCTCGTAGCCTTTTTTCTTTATTGATTTTTTAAAATTTATGAGCCTTATTACTAATAAACATTCTAAAGTTATATTATGCGTCGAGTGATTTGTCGCTTGGTGCGATATAACAAGAAATATCGTGAAATTGAGATAAATTTTATTATCAGTACACAACATTTTTTTCTAAGTGATGTCTTCTATTTAAAATATATTATCTTCTACATTTAAAATTGATACTGATTGGAATTTTGTTTTTAAATTACATACACATTGACACAACTCGAGTAATAGGATAAAATTACCGAAATCGCACTTTTCACTTAAAGGCTCAATTTAGAAATTATAAAGAATATCTTTTAGAAGAAGTTTTTTATAGCTGTAATAAACTGCACTCTTTTCTCTTTCTTATGTATTTTTTTTGCGCTATAAATGACTTTTCTTTCAGTATGATGTGATTTTGGCAATGAGAAAATTTGTTGCTTAAATCGCATCATACCAATATTCTTTGTACTTTAAAAGAGAGAGTATCGTATATATGAATTTTTGAAGGATTATCAAAAATTGAAACTAAAAGAATTTAAAACAAATTCTTTTTTATACAATATATGTATTATCTGCGAACAAATAGGTCTGTACTTTATAAATTATAACTGCTCCGTTTATCGATCATCTTAGATTACTCCGAAGCGATTAAAACTGCAATCACTCATCAAATATTTATAATTATTCCGCTGGGAATCGAGTTACCGGATCGACTTTCTGGGCAATGGAAAAAAAATGGAAAATATAATCCACGTACTACTATCTAGCATCCAATTAACGATTTACGTTTCCGACATAAGAATACCAGATTTAACTGCGTCGACAAATCTTCG